AACAGTTCAATGTCCTTACAGCAGATTTGCTCCTTATTTGTGATGTGCCCAGAGCCATCTTATATTACACCATGTAATTTTACATCTAATATATATCAGCCTCCCTCCCTTCTCCCTCCCAATAAAAAAATACTTAAAAAAGAAATGGGGAAAAGTACAAAAGTAAGAAAAAAGCTCAAAGGGAGCTGGAGCTGCTGCAGCAGGCTGCCACCATCACAGTACCATCTTGAAAAGAAAGAAAGACCCACCCTCTGGGGACATTTTTGGTAATACTTTAAGTATACTACTAAGTATATTACTATAAGTGCCTATGTTTTGCTGTTGATGTTTTGCCATATATTGTGTAAACAATGGCCAGATAAAGTTACAGCAAAATGTTGTTTAGAAATGAAATAAAAACAGGTTGTTTCCAGTCCTCCATCCCCACGCCAACCGCACAAATATGCTGATTCACTGTTGAAAATGACTAGTTACTCCCAGCTCTCAGGTCCAGATAATAGAATGATCCTATCTCAGGTATTAGGGTCAGAATAATGAGTGGAAGAGGCAAGGGCATGTCATTATTGTGGAAAAGAGCGGCATTGGATCAGAGAATGTAGAAAGAAGTGCTCTGATGAAAATCAATCTCAAAAACCATTTCAGACTCGGGGACACGGAGGGCCCTAAAACACACACCAGACAATCTGTTGTCTGGAAACCGACAAATGCATAGGGCCGCCCACAGAATGCACCCCACATTGTTGAAGATGCACCTAGTTTGACAATCCTTTCTAAGACATTAGCTCTTGTCTCTGGTAATTTGACACTTATGGAACTTTAATTTTCTTGTAGACAGTGGAGTGACATTTTCTTCAATTAGTGGTAATGAATATAATGGGCCAGTGTAAGGTGCCAATTTCATGTTCAAAAACACCTCGGCTGTCAGTAACCTGTCCAAATGATTGGGGAATCCCGAAATCCTTATGATCAGAATACAAGGACCAAGTGGGTCTATTAAACTGTGTACTGTTTAAAGCCCAGTTGTCAACACAAGAGCCAGTGTACTGCAAGCAATATCCTTTGTCTAGAGAAAAGGAGGAAGGAAGTCATTGAGGGTGTGATACAATCACTGTTGAAATAAGACATGATCGTTGAAACAACATCTCCATATAACACGCCAATAAATCCTGTTAAGATTTACAGTGGGTAAATGAAGTTGTCATCCCACCTGCTTCAATTGTGCCATTGTTAATAGAATTCCAGTAACACACACACACATTTCACTGTTGTAGACTTGTGTTCGGCCTTTTTCTGCGTCCTAGTCGATGAGGACACTTTTTGCTTTCAGTTTCAAAGAAAAACAATACACGTGGCAGCGTCTCCCGGATGTGTGGATTCTCTAGCTGTTTTTACCGCCACCATGCACGATTCCCTGGGTACCCTCAAGGCTGTATTGTGTTGCAGTATGCTGATGACCTGCTACTGACAGCAAAGGATGAGGTCATGTGCAAGGCTGGCTCTGGGGGTCTGCTTCAGCATTTAACTGTATGTGGTTTCAAAGCTGCTCTTGACCAGCTGCAGTACCATCAAACCAGAGTTTCCTGTCTCAGTTTCACTTTGTCAAAGGGAAGCCACAGACTGTCAAAGGACAGAATACAGCTCATTCAGAGTTTTAGGCCTCCATCAACAAAGAAAGGCATGATGTCTTTTCTGGGACTGATCAATTACTGTTGTGCAGGATTCCAGACTGCTCTTATTATGACAAGATTTTGAGAATGTGTTGCAGTGGGAAGCTCCTGAAACGATTGAATGGACCACTGAAATGGCAGAGGCCCTCTCAGTACTGAAACGGTCCTGAGCTCTGCTCCAGCCTTGGGTCTGCCTAACTACACACAGTCTTTTTATCTGTACACGCATGAACATTGCGGGGTCGCTGCAGGTGTGCTGGATTAGCAGCATGGGGGTTACATGAGACCTGTTGCATATTTATCCAAAACATTAGATGTAATGGCACAAGGGCTGCCTGCTTGTTTGCGGGCTGTAGCTGCGGCTGCCCTGATGGTACTGGATGAAACCTCTTCACCACAATCTTTGAAACCAAACGTTGTCTCTCCCTGATTCTGAATCTCGGCCTGAGGCTCACGACTGTTGTGCTGACATCAAAGAAGAGTCTGCCTGTTGTGCTGATTTGTTGTTGTCACCATTAGAGCGTGGTGAAAAGGTTTTTGTAAATGGCTCATACTCTAAGCCTTGTGATGGTGTTTTTTCTATGTGGTTATGCTGTATGTCAACTTCCTAATTTGGTAATGGAAGCACACTGACTTCCTTATCAGTCAGCACAGATGGCAGAACTTGTGGCCCTCATTAGGGCGTGTTCTCTAATTAAAGATCAAAACGTCAGTCAGGATGCTGAAGTCTTGATCATTAATTAGAGTATTAGAATAATTAGAGTTCATGCCCTAATTACAGCTGAATCTGGGCCCAGCACAGGTTTCTCACAGCTGACGGGAAACCATTCTCTCAATCCACATTGATTTCTGATTTATTACATGCTTGAACTTTACCCAGGAGACTGGCTGTTATCAAAGTTGAGGGCCATGAGTCCCCTAATTCAGGAGAGGAAGCAGCTGGTAATTTTTTAGCAGACACTGTTGCAAAACATGCTGCGAAAAATGGCCCAACATGTCCAAACATTAGGCAACAAAATTGTTCTTTCTCAGTTTTCTCTCATCCATTGTCTACTGATCCTAGCCTTACTGACATTGCCATAATACAAGAAAATGCCTCACAAGTAGATAAGGACTACTGGTCCTCACACAATTGTAGTGAGCATTCTGTTGATTTTGACCTGGCCTGAGGGTTGCATAGCATTGCCAAAATCTTGTTTGCCTTTCCTTGTGCAACGTTTTCATGGCATTTCACATGTTGCACAAAGAGGGGTGATTAAAAATATTAACAGAAGATACTGTATTCCAGAAGTGACAAAAACAACAAAGTTGATTTTAGATGCATGCCCGATATGTGCACAGAACCACTGTCTCCTTTTGTTAACCAGCATACAAGCTAATGTTGCTGTTTCTCTCCCTCTCCCCACAGACCAACAAACACACCTGTTTAAACCAGGCGACAAGGTACTAATTAAACGTTTGCTTTCCAGGAAAGTTGGTGAAGCACTCCACGGAGCACCATGCACTGTCATTGCAGTAACCAGAACAGCTGTTTTGACTAATGCACAACTGCAATGGATACATGCTAGTAGAATAAAAGGGGGCCCCCCAGATAGTTTGAAGGGGTGGATTTCTCTAGGTGGACTTTGAGAAGACAGGATTGATCAAGATGAGCTACTGATGACACGTTGCGGGATGATGTGCTAGTAATCTCTCTCCTAGCAACCTACGCTGCTTGTCACGCAGCACAAAGTTGCAAACAGGCCAGAAGACCATCCGTATACTTTTGTATGAGTGAACATTTTAAATAACTTTGCTTTTTGCTTATGTTTGGACTGTTATACCTTGTGCTTGTAATCTAACGCTCTGTTGAAAGATCTTTTACCCTTGCCATGGCATCTGTTCCTCTGCTGTCCAAACAAGTTTCTAATCACTCTTATGAATACACTGGCGATGGGTCTGTTGATTGTTCTTTTGTTTAAATTTTGACTATTTACATTTTATATTTTGTGCTCTCTGTAACATTATTATGTTTTATTTTGTGTGCTCCATGCTGACGCGGTTTTCACTAGTCACAAGTTAGTTGACTTGTGGAATAAGTGCCCGAGCATGCTCAAGTCCACCTGGGAGTGTGAATATTCTATGCCAAAACAAAATTTGGGTAGGCTGGGACTTTTCCTGTACTACTTTTTAAGAGTGTTGTTCCTAGGAAACAAATGAAGGGGAATGAAAAGAAATTCCATGGATTTTCCTAAAAGCAGAATCTTTTTTATACAAAGCTTTTCTACAAGCACACCAAGTAAATTAAATTAATTATCATATGTCTGCGTGTCAGGACAAAACATCTTGACCTGCAAGTACACTTCTTGGCAGTCACGTCTTGTTCAGCCGTGGTTTCCTGTTTCTTTCACACCTCAGCTCATCTGCATATTGTTCTCAGAAATCTTGTTTATCTCTGTACTGACTAACTGCCAGGTATGTCAGCTTCTAAGTGTATAAAAAGGCACTTCCGTTCCAAAATAAATGAGTGTGTCTTGGAACTTTGATGCACGTGTCTTTGCTTCTTGCGCACTCCTGGAGCTCCAATGGAGAACAACCAGATAGAGAGAGGTCAAGGTGGGATCAGACAGGGCCAAAAGAAACCATTTCTTAAAGGTGTGTAAAGTTAAACGTGTGTAAATCAGTAAAGCGGATTTGGCATGAACACTTTGGCTAGTTAAGTTAAATCTTGAAGATTTACGAGTCGTTTTGATTGTTGCCGAAGTATTTATGATGGGCTACTGCCTGAGAAACAACACACAACATAGCACTTTAAGTTATTTTACAATTTAAAAGAAGATTATACAGGTATGTACCAGTCACATACTTTTCCACAGCCTTTAATCTTTTGTTGGTCAGACCATCTCCATTTGGCACTGTAAGAAAACAAGATTTCTGAGACACTGGCACAGTGTCATAAATGAACCCTAACTGTCGAAACTCCATCTTGCTGTTGCTCATAAAAATCCTCATGTCATTTATAACATCTCTGTACTCAGGTCACAAAACCTTTGTTTTCTGGATCGACACATCGTGGCTCGTTAAAAAAATGGACGTGATACAAAATATGATGAAGATGAACAACAGGACAGTCATATGTGTTACATATGTCCACAAAACAGCAGTTTGTTAAGGGTACTCAAGCATTTCCTCCATTTACTCCCATTCACTCACTCAGAGCCTCTGGACTTCCTGATCGCTTCCTGTGATGCCTTTTAGACCAGGGTCTGGAGGAGGGGCTCTGGCTTTGCTCAATTCTAAATTCAGGAAATGTGAGGCCTGTGAAGGGGACTGTTCAACGTGTTGTGCAGATGTTAGACTACGTGTTTTGGGCCTGTAGAACTTTGAACATCATATGAAATTGTGTTTTTAAACCTCAACCAAAGAGCTGAAATTTAGATTTCATAATCCTGAACAGTACTATCTTTCCAGAGAAGCATCAGGTGAGTCACGCAGAGTTGTCTGTGATCTTGTGCATCATTATCCACCTACAGAATATTATTATAATATGAAAATATTATAAATATGAATGTCCAGAGTGACTTATTAAAATGTCTTTATTGAATGATCTACTGCTTACATGCCTTGAGTGGGTTCATTTTACAGTTTGTGCCCCTTTTTTGTAAACATTCCTTTTTACTGAGCTTCTAATACTTCATATGTATTTAAGTCCACTTACATGCACAAATTCACCACAATAGATTATAAATCACAATTAAATTAAAGTCATTCTATAGTTGAGCATTTAAAATTATTCTTTTATCTACTCCTCTAAAACTGTGTGTGAAAACCCATAAACGACTGCCAGCACCCACAGTGGGGATATAAACTGTATATCCAGTTCAATGAACAGCTACCACAGAGGGTCACATTACAGCAGATCCAGGAAGGTGAGTCCACAGCAGTTACTGTGTCCATCATTCATTTCTTTACAATATTCTTATAGTTTTTCCTGCTGCTTTGGTAAAATTGACATTTATAGAGTTCTCACAGAGTAGATACAGTCGTGTACAAAAGTTTGGGCGCCTCTGGTCAAATTCTATGCTATTGATTTTGTAAATAAATTAAACGTCCTCTACAGAGAACACACTTCTGCACACTTTAATGCACATTTACTCTTAAACTTTGCTGAATTTGAGGGAAAAAACAAAATCCGGCCTGTGCAAAAGTTATGTCACATTTTATACTACGTTTTATTTTATTCCAATGTGATAAACGCAGCAAATAAACAGAAATTGTGCACTCAAATTTTCAGAAAATGCCATATGTTTTCTGTACAGGATGTGTTAATGTATTTTCATTTCAACAAAACATGTAATTTGAAAGCGAGTGTTCAAGCTTTTATATATAACTGTACATTTACACGTTATAATTATTGAAGCCCTAATGTAAGATGCCAGCGCCTGTGTCATTTTGCTTCAGTGTGTTATATTGTATCACAAGGTATCATATTTTAAAGTAAACAGAGGTCATTTAAAGTACTGAAGTGGATCACTTTACAGTACTGTTTCTTGTACAGTTTCATGTATTATGATTTTTTTTACTGTGTGATGTATTTTTCTCCACTGGAATTTGTTGTTTTTCTAGCATCTGGTTTACTGTTTTGATTCTTAAAGTACATGACATGGATACTACAAACGTGCTTGCTGTTGCAACCCTTGGAAGACAACTTCATTTGGGGATGTTGTATGACTGCTGCAATGATTCCTTCATTCCAGGTAAGAGTTCACTGCTAACATCTGCCTAAAACACCTCAAACACTTCACCAACATCTTCCTGATGAATTCTTCCTTATTTAGGAGTCTACCTGTGGGACATGGACAAAATAGAGAAGAACAGGATTGTGAGCCAGAGCCCACAAACATCTTTCAAAATAGTTTTGTCTGACTCGCTGGAAGAAAAAGAAAAAATGTTACAAATAAGTTCCTCTCTTAGTGCGAGCGTACATGCAGCGTTAGTAAACACGGAGGGTTCAGCCAGTTACTTGAATGACAGCTCATCTTCTATGCATGAGTGCAGAGTGACTGTCCAGTACAGTGTGAGGACCAAGACGGAGCATCTTAACTTGAGCCAAATGGGAAGCGCGATCAACAGAAATACTGAAGACCCGGACTTCAGTGCCACTCATGTCGTTATTCAGGTAGAATACGGTGCAGAAGCGCTCATGGTGTTCAGTGAATCAGCATCAGACGAGCAAAAAAAACAAGATATTCAAGCAAGCATGAAACTCATGGTGAATAATATTGGCTTGTTAAATATCAGTGCTGAGGGAAAGGTTCAAATGACTGATGAAGAAAGGAAGAAAGTGCAGAACTTCAACTGCACCTTCCATGGTGATTTTGTATTGGAAAACAACCCAGCCAACTTTGAAGAGGCAGTAAAAGTCTACAAAGAACTCCACAAACTGCTCGGGCCAAATAAGGAGAATGTGGTGCCCAAGAAAGTCTGGCTCGTCCCATTAAAAGAACTTGTGCCTTCGGCTCCAGAGGTCAAGCACAAAGTCAGCGAAATCAACTGCATTAAATTACGGAATATAATGGAGCAGCTGAACAGCACGAAAATGAGAGCAAATGACATTTCTAAAGAGAGTGACTCCATTCGGGCCACTGACATCACTAAGAAGATGAAAGATTTTGGAGAAAACCTTCAGAAATACATGCTTGTGTGGAAAGACAACCTCTTCAAACTCCTCCCTAAAATCAGGAAGGGAGCAGAGAAGGAAGAAAGGCTGGAGAAGATGTTCAGTCTTCATGAAGAATCACCCTTTGGGCCCAGCAAAATGGACGCCTGGCTGAAAGAAAGGGAGACTGAACTCAGCGTCGTCAAAACGTACATTAAGGATATTCAGTCAAGGAGGCCAAATGTTCAGATCGTAGCTCATGAAGACTTAGACAAAGTGCTGTTTGATCCTAATAAACACAAGGTAGGGGTGTTTGGGTTCAACTCTCTTGGAGAAGATGACCCTTACCTGGACTCCCTCAGGGTTTGCCTGGACTCAGAGAAGTTCACTACAATGGAATGTTTACCCTCTGATCTGCAAACGTTGGTCAAAGACAAAACTCCTTGGTACAGATCTCCTGAAGTCTCACAGACCATGAGAGATTCTTTTGATAAGTTTTGTTTGGGTGAATCGCCTTTGTCATCTTTAGTGTCATCTCTGTTCTGTCACATCATCAGCTACTTCCACTATCCGTATATTGCAGGTGCTTCTGTGAGAAGATATTCAAATGGGACATTGTTTTGCATAAACACCCTAAAAAAATATGAGGTGGTAGACATCAGTGCAAACACTATTACACTGAGACAGTGTGGAGATTCTATTATTTTAAGAGTTATATGCAAAAAATCGGATGATGGAGGCGATCCACAGGAGCAGAACTTGCGGCTATTGAAAAAACAAATCCTGGTGATCTCAGACCTGCTGCCCAACACCAAGTATGAAATCCAGGTTTTCTCTGAATTTCCACCTTCTGAAGTCAAACATGTGAAGGTACAGAAAATTCATTTGTTTGTAATTTCTATTACACTATTAACACTAGTCAGTACCGTCAGTAGTGAAATAGTGAGGATTCACTCTTTTAACTTTGTGACTAATTCTGTGATTTGCATTACAGCCATTCACATTTGTGACCAAACCAAACTGAACCATCGGCTCCCCAAGACAAAGAGACACAACAGCTCCTTATTGAAGATTCTTGTTTTACTACAGTGGAGTCTTTCTTCTGTAACTGAATCTCCTTTTTTGTAGGGAACTGTTAAGTCTCTCCATAATGTTACACTGAATTTACTGTTTTCAGGATTTTCTGTTTGGCTGCTTTGTTCTCTGTAAACTTTTCATTTTGAATTTTCTATTCTAACACATCTGATTCAGCTCATCTGCTAAAACTGATGGCCTTTTTAAATTCATTTAGGAATGTAAATGTAGAGCTACACATACAGAGGTTAAAGACTAATCTAATGAACCAGACATGCAGTTTCAGGTATACAGTGACGTCTCTGCTGTGTTGAAAGAGAACTGAGTCCTGTCTGTCTTTTTAAGATTTACTGTTATACATCTGTTCTTCTGGGGTTTATTGATTTGAATCTACTGATTAGCTGAGATTAGCTTTTACTGAATACTTATATCTATTGATTAGCTGAAATTATCTTATACTGTATACATGTATATATTGATTAGCTGGGAGTATCTTACACTCAAGGGTAGATCATTTTAGAATCACGTCTGTTTAAGGAACCAGGGTGTCTCTCTCTCTCTCTCTCTCTCTCTCTCTCTCTCTCTCTCTCTCTCTCTTTCTCTCTCTCTCTGACCAGAATGTCAGTCACAGATCACTCTGTGTCCAAAAAGTCATTTACTGAACAAAAAGAACAGGATGTTTCATCTTTGATGCATTTGAGAGGAGTAAAAAACACGTCAAGGCGATCAGACAGAGGCTCTCGGACGATGTATGAGAAAGAGGCTTATAAAAGGGTTAAATGAGTCCAGCTGGTCAGTGATGGGCACCTGGATGTTCTGGAGGTTAACAGTAGCAGGCCGCTATCTGTGTTTTGGGAACAGACAGACAGAGAGAGAGAGAGACAAGTGTTGGAGCAATGCTGTTTGACACTTTGGCCTTTTGATTCATTTTTAATGAATCATTTATTCTTTCATTTTTTATTCTCATTTTAATTTTTAACCAACTTCAACATTTAATCAATGATTTTTCTGCATGATCAACATTTTCTTCAGCATCATAAACCTTGTTTTGTGTGAGGAATTCTTCTAATAAATCTGGCAAAGACATTGCTGACTGTGCCGTGACCTCATTTCTGTACCAGTTCAGCCCACATCTTACTCACTCATGTACACCGACTGCTGATGCTTTTCATGTGGAAAGTAGAGTTTGTGTCAAAAATCATTTATTCATCATTCACTTCATTTATTTGCATTAAGGTGTCTGTCTCAATGTTACTCATATACACAGTTGCTGCAAATACCTTAAATAACTGACTTATATTTCTTTATTTCATTAATTTTGATTCAACAAGTATACAACTGTTAAGGTGATAAATATGAGGTTTATTTAATTAAGACTTATTATATTAATCTATAATTCCCCTGCTGAAAAAGACCATTAGAACCATAAAGATTGAAACCTGATGGTTTTGCCTTATAATGGAAATTGGCTTATAATTCACATAAATGTCTACAGTTACTCAGGATCACGTGCAGACTCAGAAAAACATTAATTTGCTCCCCTTAGAGTGTAGAAATAAGAGCAAATACTACCTGTTATAAACCCGATAGCACACTTGCTAACAGTGCAAACTCCTTACAGTAATAATTCACACAAATACAGTTACTCAGGATCATGTACTAGACCTTCACTGCTGGAAAACTACCATTAGAACCACTAGGACTAAAACCTGATTATTTTGCTTAATGGTTGATGAAACTGGCTTGATGGTTACCCATTAGAGACCATTAGTTTCCTGTATGACACCTTTAGATCCCATTAGGAAACCACCAAATACATCTGGACTCAGAACAGCTGTTAAGCCATTAGAATGACTACTGGACATAGTCATCAGGGACTACTGGACTCCAGAACCTTTTACTGGTTTCAGTGGTTTTTCTCAGCAGGGTTGGTGACTGAGGTCAGTCGTCCGGCAGCTCAAACAGAAACACTGGCTGTGTTATTTCACCTATTATTAGGGTTGAGGGTGTGAGGAAAGCATTTAATACTAATAATGATAACAATAATAACAATAGTTTATAGAGCACTTTTCTTGCTGGTGGCAGCTGAGAGTGCTTTACAAACAGGTGATAAAGCTCAACACGAATGCAAGAAATTATTAGTACTAACTTAAAATGATATTAGAAAAAAAAGGTGAACAGCGCCACCTGCTGCTTGTCTCAGGTGACACTTGCAACAATGGTGATTCCAGTGATTCAGTGAGAGATAATGGGCCAGATTTACATAGGAAAATAAGAGCTATTCATGAAGTCACTGTGCTGCTGATTAGCACACCAGTGTCTTTCAAAGTGTAACTCCACCCTAAGACCTTTTTATCATTAACAGCTGAAATGCACTGCTGTCTAATAATAAAATACACCAGTCTTGCTAAAATTATGAACACATCTTTCCAAACTGTAAAAATGTAATTTTTATCGAGGTCAGTTACGCCTCTGCAGTGCCCCCTCTGGTTCAACTCTGCTATAGGCGCAGATGATGTGTCTTCGTATCAAATTACCATGAAACGTCACAGTATGCAAATCGGTCAACCAGCATTACTGCCCCCTGATGATGCCCTACTCGTGCTGTGCTCATAAATATGAAAGCATAGGACCCTGGAGCGAGGAGAGAACCACACTCATGCACTAAGCTAAAGATCCCCAGCACCTCCTCACAAGGCTGTGATACGCCAGCTGTAAATAACCCAGTTAATCTGAGCTTAGTTTGTAATAAAGATGTTGGACCGATTAAGTGAGGATTCTTGCGAGTCTCCATAAAGCTGCCGGTCTTGAGTCCAATTCAAGTTTCCCTTCACAACTCAGACCTTCGGGGGCGACTCACTGAACAGAAATCAACGGCAACACTGGAACTACGGAAAGCAAAGTGGTTCAGGAAAGGTTAACGTTAAATGGCCAACTTTGTCAACCTTTTGTCCGTACAGCCTTTCTCAAACCTTTTCCCACTTTCCGTAATTCCAGTGTTGCTTGCCGTTGATTTCCGTTCAGTGAGTCGCGCATCGAGGGTTCGGTTTATACAGGGGAACGTGAATGTGTGTGGGAACTGAATCAGATGTAACACCAGTAAGTGTCATGAACAGCTTGCAGAACGTAAGGATTTAGGGTCACTGCAGCAAACCCTGGCTGACCGGTGATACAGTCTGCGACTGTGATATCAAACTGAATGAAACTTTATTCATTCAGAATTCAGGGCATCTAAGAAATCAGGACTGAATACGGACGTGCTGAACAGATAATTAGAAGTGAGCTGTCGTGATTTTTGGGAATGTTCGACCCTTTGGCGCCTCGCCCGCTCACTGCTAACCATTTTCTGGCACATTAACTCTTCGGCGGTTTGAGTCAGCGGCTCATACTGTTAAGGCTCCAGATGCACTGCCTGATCAGAAACTCCTTCCCTCGTCGAAGATGGAGACGGTCGTGGAGAAAAATCATCAGCCTCGTAAGACTCTGTTCCAAAAGTGCCGTTCGGCTCTGTCTCTCTCCACATTTTCTGGTAGCTAACATACGCTAGCTCTAAAAACACAGCAGCCCAGCCCACGCGGTTTCCCTCACAGCCCCTCCTCCAGATCACTGCAGCGCCCCTCCAAAAGGTGCCCCTCCCATTCTTGAGCATTTTTCAAAGTTGAGCCAGGGGTGGAGTCAGCTGAAAGTAGTGGGGTGTAGTTACTCTTTAACATAGTGGTAGTTTCACTGGTGCCCTCAGCAAGAGCCAATCAGAACTGACATATAAATGAGGTCATACATATTAAAGACTCACATCAAGTGAAGATCTGGTTGGCTGCCAAAACAAAACCAAAGGAACAAATAAAACGAAAATCTTCAGAAATTTTAAGGGGAGAAGTGTTGTAAATAATAATTAATGTCAAAATAAAACAAGATCAAATTTTCTTTATCAGATTTTTCTACTTTAAAAATGAAAAATCTTTTAATTTTAAGAGTTACATTTTAGATGTGAATATTTCAATAATAACAATTATAATAACAATAATAATAATAATAAGAAGAAGAAGAAGAAGAAGAAGAAACATGTGAAAAATCAAATTTTAATGAGTAAATATTTAATTCTTGGTCTCAGGAATTTGATTTGTACATGTGAAAATTAAATATTAATATTGACTAGTTAAAAAGTTTTTCACATGTTTGAATTGTAAATTTGTTTGTAAAATAGAAAATAAATAGAAAATTACTATCAAAAGCTAAAACTACTCACAATAAAATAAACTGGAATTAGAATCTGAACATGTCAAATTACTCTTCACTTATTTGGATTATAAGCTGCTTCACACACACAGGAAGGAGATTCTCCAAACACAGACTCTGACGCAGGAAGAGGTGTGTGTCTGTGTGTGTGTGTGTGTGTCTGTGTGTGTGTGTCTGTGTGTGTGTGTGTGTCTGTGTGTGTGTGTGTGTGTGTCTACAGAACATGCCAGGTAGTGTCTAATGGTGTTTGTACTGTAAACCAGATAAACTCACTCTATGTTCTATCATTTCTCCTGTTTTCCACAGAAAGTGTCTTCTTAGTGTAGTGAGGTGTGCTGTGTGTGTGTGTGTGCTGTGTGTGTGCTGACTCAACTGCGCCCTCTACCTTCCGAAACGTGCAATCAATTCACTGATTTCTGATTCACTGCAGTTTTAGTTCACACTCTGTTCAAAATGAATGAAATAGCCAACAGCGTCCTGTGGGCAGCGTCCTGTGACCACTGATGAAGGACTAGAGGATGACCAACACAAACTGTGCAGCAGCAGATGAGCTATTGTCTCTGACTTTACATCTACAAGGTGGACCGACAAGGTAGGAGTGTCTAATAGAGTGGACAGTGAGTGGACACAGCGTTTAAAAACTCCAGCAGCACTCAACGGTTACAGTGGAATGTTTGGAGGATGTTTATAATATTTTACATGTGCGTGATATCAAGACAATAAATGAAGCATTTAAAGATCTAAAAGAAAATATCAGCAGTCGGTGTACATGAGTGAGTAAGATGTGGGTTGAACTGGTGCAGAAATGAGGTCACAGCACAGTCAGCAATGTCTTTACCAGATTTATTCAGACAAAAACAAGGTTTATGTTGCTGAAGAAAAAGATGATCATGCAGAAAACATTTT